AAAAAATAATTAAGGGGAAAATTTTCCTTTCATCCAAAAACACCCTAATTTTTCAAAGCCTAACAATAACATTGCCCATGTGGACGCTACCTGTTGCAGTGTATTGTCGCCAAATACTGGAAGGGCCACTTGGCTATGATTGATAAGAACTAGTTAGGGTAGATTTCACCGATTTTCAAACGATTTTTTGAGCTGACATTTTACTGACCAGATTTTAGACTCTGTTTAGTTGACAAGGAACAAGAAGAAGTATCCTAAGTAAATAACATCTCTTAAGTCTTAACTTCAAAATCTGATTAAACAGAAAAAAAAAAAAAGAATTCTAGTTTTACCAAAAATAATGGGAAAAAAGTCTTATGGAGTAGGAATTATTTCTTGATTTAGTTAATGGGCATGAAAACATCCAAATTACAAGAACTGGATTGGAATTAAATTTTCAGTTGCTGTTTTTTTTTTTTTCAAAAAAAAAATTACAGGACCTGGATTGAGGCAGTTTGAAGTGGGCTCAAACGCCATAAAACACTGAGAAGTTGGGAGACAATATGCATTGATATCATATCAAACCGGAAGATGATACTAGTGTTGGTAATCAAAAATTCCACTGATATTGATTTTGAAATTATAGGGATCAGCATTCCCACCATGTGGATCTTATTGGGTTTTTAATGAGATTTTTTTTTCCCTTTATTTATTTATTTTCCTGGGTAGAAAGGCAATCAATAGAACAATTTTACAATGACCGTGTTTGGTTTGGGCTTTTCTTAAAAGAAAAATTCGAGTAAGCCAATACAATTGTGTGCCTTTGGCTTGCTTTAAAATGTTAAAACCCACAATTAATGGGACCTAATTGGTGAGATACCACAGAAATTGATTTCCAAAAAATGTCAAAAAAAAAAAAAAAAAAGAAAGAAAAACTTGGTTTGTTATATTGGTTTTCAGTAAGGTATTTTTAAAATTTTGCCTTTAAGGCATAATTTAATAATATAATTAATATATGTTTTTGTTATTAATTGATATTAAAAAAAATTTCCATTAATTTCATTATTAATATTACATGAATTATTTTAATTATACAGTTGATTAAATAAAAATTAATTTTTGTTTTTAATAGCAATTAATATAAAAAAAGGATTAGAAAAACCTTTTTTTTATCTTTTTTTACTGAAAAACCCTTGACCTTTTTTTATCAAATAGTTGATTATGCTATCTAAAATATATATTTATAAATTGATTTTAACTTCTTCAATAACAAAGATTAATTATTAATTATTAATTATTAATCATTTTTAATAATATAACTAAAATAAAAATTAAATATTGTGGGGCAATAACGAATTGCCCTACTCCTTTTGGTAGTTTAGCGGTTGTTCTTTCTAAGGCAGAAGTGAACTTATTAAATTATCCAGATTTGATTCACATCGAATTAATTTTCCAGAAAAAAGAAAAAAGAAAAAAGGATGGATACATTAAATTGACCAACTCCAGTAGTGTATGGTGAAGCTGCAGCTATCACTGTTTCTCTTGAGAAGAACCACACATATGGGTTCATGAAACACCCAAAGGTACGCCTAGTGTCCACTCTTTAATGAGTAATGATGCAGCGTACGAAAACGCGGGACGAAAATGAGGGATGATAGGTTATGCAAGGAGGACAAATTAGTAATTGCACCACATACATGAATGTTGCATAACTTGTCGTTTCTCATTTTCGTCCCGCGTTTTCGTCTGCTATATCATTACTCCTCTTTAATAATGATAACAAGATCCCCCACTTGTTTGACTCCTCTTTCTATTACTCATTAGCCGGCTAGGGTCCTTTTCCTTTCTCTATGCCTCTATGGTGTATTAATGTGTGGAAAATAAGCAATGATAGAGTGATAGAGGACGAAATTTTGATATCAAAATTTATAATTGGTAATGTGATATAAGTTATTGTTTTTTTATTAATCTCTCGGTATTCAGTAATCACATTAGGTCTTGACTAATCTGAAATCAAGTCATATTGGATCCCATTAAAAAAGAAACTCTCTTAGTACTTATTTTTTCATTCACAATATTCGAACTCGAGACTTTATTTAAGAAAAACCAACCTCCTCCTACTCGAATCAACAAGTCGTTGGTTAATGTGATATAACTTATATTATTAAAAATTTAGTGTATATAATATTTTTAGTTAAAAAAATTAATTATTAAATAATATAAATTTTTAAATATTTTAAATGAATGTAATTCATTTTATTTTATTAATTTTAAATTTTGATTCCATTTTATCATTATTTGTGAAAAATAGGTTGCAAAGGATTGGATTATTGGAAGGAAGCCTATATAGTTTCTACTACAATTAATTATTGCGGCCAAATTTTAAATTATGCACACGGCTCCAATCATAACTCATCATCTCTTAATGGGAATCATGTTCTCTTTTATGTCTTACGCCAGGGCATGGGGCTGTATCTTACGGCAAAGGTGAATGATGATGGATATAAGGTCTCTTACAATCAATGCCTATGATTGTTTCTATAACAAGTTCTATATATGATTCCATTGTATTTTCACATGTTCTCCTCTTTTCCTGTTGTTTTATCTATATTTTTATTTTCATGTTACCAAAGTTAATTATACCTACCACTTATAAAAATTAATAATAATATAGTTATAATATTATATAAAATTATAAATTTATAATTATAATATGTTATTAATTAAATTAGTAGATTTACACAAGTGGACCTCAAATGAAAAAAAAAAAAAGTCAATCATATTATAACACATTATAATTATAAACTTATAATATCATGTAATATTATAATTATATTATTATTTAACAAAAATACTTCCAAACTAAAACTATGCATTCAAAATATATCATTTTAATATTTTTAGTAGCACTTTATTAAAATGACAAACTTTTATAATATTTTTACTTAATTTTTTAAAAATCTAGCCTGATACACATCATATATATATATATAATGTTTTAGAAGGTAAATTGTACATAAAAATTGTATTTCACTTTGTGGATTTATTAAAATATTTTTAATAAAATTATTTTTATATTATTTTGTTATAAATATTTTAATAAATTTATATAATAAACTATATTTTTAATATATAATCTAACTTATAAAACATAAATCCCTATCCATATTCATATTCTTGCAAATACAAGAAAGACTTGTACCACATTGGCCTCACCGACCCATTCAAAACACTCTCTAAACCCAATTAAAACTAATGTTGGCCAAAAAA